TAGCCTGTACTGGTGCATGAGGTTGTTCCTCCCCAGGTGCAGGACCCTGCACTTGCCTTTGTTGAACCTCATGAGGTTCCTCTCTGCCCAACTCTCCAGCCTGTCCAGGTCATGCTGAATGGCAGAACAGCCTGCTGGTGTGTCCACCACTCCTCCCAGTTTGGTGTCATCAGCAAACTTGCTGAGGGTACACTCTAACTCTTCATCCAGGTCATTGATGAAGAAGTTGAACAAGGCTGGGCCCAGTACTGACCCCTGGGGGACACCACTAGTTACCGGCCTCCAACTAGACTCAGCGCCGCTGATGACAACCCTCTGAGTTCTGCCATTCAGCCAGTTCAGATAAAATAATACAGACTGAACCTCAGCCACGTTCATCACAGTTCAGCTGGAGTCAACAGAGCATGAAAATTTTTATTAAGTGAAGTAATGCCTGCATACACACACAGCATCTGTACAGTCATGAGCTGTAAGCAACATGGGACTTTGGACAGCAACCTGTCAGTAAATCCCTTTTCTGAAGAAAAACGTGACAGGGCTTTTGCACATAAGAAATATGGCTTTGTTTTTTAAGGAATTACGTGAAGACTTTATGAAGCTAGGAGTAAGAAAGATTACTATTGCAATTCAAGTTAATTTATGTAATAACACTCCCAAACATTTCTTCCATATTCTAAAAAAAAAAAAACCAAACCAAAAAAACACCACAAAAAACAAAAAAAACCCAAACAAAAAACCAAAAAACAAAACCCCAAACACCATTACGGAGATTTCCAAACACTGAAATGTTCCAGTACACAGTTACGTTCAGAATTACCAACTTATTTTGTTTTTAAAGCAGTCACAGTTTGGACAGACAGTGCTCTTGCACGTATCTGTCATGCGATACAAATATTACAATTAGTTAGCCAGGTACACATTTAACCTCTCTTCTGCTTAGTGAGTTGCCCTGACCACAAACAAAACCCTAGCAGCATGTATGGTAACGGAGACGTTATATACCTGTAATTCTAAAAATCTCCTTGTATGCCAAGATCCATTTAGCATTGGTTTCCACCCCAGTACATACAATCGTTTTCAGACCAAGCACGAAAAATTCTGATCCCCACAGGAAAGTAAAATAAAATTAAAAAAAAAGAAGTTATACACAAACAGAAAAAAGTTTATCTCATTAATTTCAACCATTTCTAGCAACTCCCATATTGAGAAAAATACTAATGATCTACCTGCTCATCTTGCAGTGCTTGACTTCCACCACTAGGAAGGTGTCATCCCAGTGTGGACAGGGAACAGTGCTGCATCTGTATTTTGTTACATCTTTGGCCCTTCTAAACATCTAAAATGCTAAGTTTATCTGCACTAAGCCGATTCAGAATGTTAGAGGCTTTAAAAATTGTTAGAAATCAATGTAGCTAGCTGATAAAAAAAATCCCCAGCATTTAAGCTTGCAATTAAATTTCACTGGTTTTCATTTACACTGAAGTATCAGACAAACAGTAACTGACAGGCAGTAAAAATAGCCATTTACTCAGAATGAAAACACTTTTCTTTGTTAGACTAAAGCATTTAAAGACCAGCAGAGGACTATCAAGGTAAACCATATTAAAAATTATTCCTCTCAGCATTTTATTGGTAAAACTCTCTAATGCTAGAAGAAATGGCACTTGCCACAGGTAAACAACTACTGAACTATTTTCTATATTTTTAAAGCAGGAAAAAAAAATTACACTAAAGGCTTCAAGTCTTGAGTCTAATTTAGTACGAAAAGCAATGTAGACAATAGGTTTAACCCTCGCCACTCCTTCCAAAAAGACAGTACTAAAACCCACAAAATACAACTAGATTCACATTTAAAAAGCAAACCCTTAGCCTCCACCATGACCCTGATGCAGTGAAAACACAAAAGAGAATTAATTTGTTTAATAATGTCCTTCCTTTCTTCCTATCACACTTCAACTGAAAATTGAACCTCAAGATCTAATTTCACGCACAAAATTACATCACTAATGGAGATCAGAGGAAGCAAGCTTACCCTGTGACATCTTTCAAAAGCTTGTTTAGTTTCTTGCAAAAGGTTAACCACCACTTCTTGTGACAGAAAAGTTTCTCCGTGCGTGTCAATACTTGGCCCCAAAGGTAAGTTTGTACGTTGCCTTATTCTCTCTTTGAGGTCTTGAATACTAGAACAAAGATAGATCAAAAGAAGAATTCACTGGATGGAAATTTTAATGCTCAAATTCAAAAATGATTTAGGGTATTTTAGTTGTTAACTTATAAAACAGAACCCAAGACAGAGTTTAGGATATGCAAGCATTAAGACAGTCTTGCAAGCTTCAAAAAATGCCAGTAAATGCAAAACTACCATCTCTGATCCCATGGTCAACTGTGTTCTACCATGGCACGTTCACACCACGGGAGCAGCTATTCCCCACTGTGGAATAAGAGTACTTTCATTTGAATCGTATGGCACTTCTGCTCTGTAGACAAAGCGTAGCCTCCAAACATTCTGTCACACACTGTACTTTCCAAACACTAATGAGAGCTTTCTATCTCATCCACGCCCACAAATCCTCTCATCCTCATCCACCACCTCAGCAGTCCTGATTTCGTGAAGCATGCTCCAACACATTTCCATGCACAAAACAACCCATAAAGTCAGTCGCTACAATCAATTTAATTTTCCCCAAGAAAATTAAATTTTCATTGTTGTTTTTTTTAATTCATTTAATTACTTTGCTGCTGCTGCTGTTTCCAAATCACTTGTCATTCCTGACACGCTGAACCCAGTAGCTCTTTGAAAGGTGCAGTCTTATCACCTCTGCTTCACTCAAGTTTTAATTCTTCCTTTCCCACTTCTCACTACTCCTTTATTAGAGTTTCTCTACCCTGAGGATAATGAAGTCTTGTTTTACCTTTCTCTAAGTCCATTGCATCTTCTGGGCTCACTAAGAGCTTTCTCACTGACATTGCTATGGTCTTTTCCCCTTCCTAGGTCTTGGGAGGGGACCACAAGACCTGGGCAGGTGAAAAAAAATGTACGCTTTTAGATACACACATATACATGCTTCAGGTACCTTAATTTTGCTTCAGTCCTTTTGTGGATCTGGATCCTAAGTTGAAACATAGGTTTAACTGGTATTTTTCATTTCCCATAAGCATATAAATACCATGCATCACCTTTCACATGTACTGAGAGCAATACACTTTTTAGCAGAAGTTAACATAAAGTGATAGCAAGTTATAAAAAGCTGTAGGTCATTTTAGAAGCCTGCTCTTTTGCAGTTCATCACTGTACATACGACATGGCAAATACTGTGTTTCTCCCCTTACCACCTCCCTTCCATTTTAAAACTACAAAAATTCACAGAAGAAACTTACCCTCCGGTGCCAATGGACCTCTTCTGGTGGTTTTTGGAATCATAATAACGTTGCAAAATCATAGCACTTCTACTTTTCAAATAACCAATTTCCACCTCAATGTAATTCTCCAAGTAGGAAATGAAAATGGATTTGATAAGCTTAGACAAGAAAGTCTGCTTATCAGTACCCAAGTTAAATTCCATCAATTTGCTTGACAGATTAGTAGTTCTTTATGCAAAAGAAACAAAGAAGGGGAGAGGAGGAAAAGGTTGAATTTGTATGAATTACAGCACTACATGTTTGTAAAGTACATAGCACAACGGAATCCTGATTGTGATTAAGACTTCTAGCAGCTTTACATTTAAGTCAAGAATTTTGCATAATTCATGTTTAATTACATACAGTACAATTGCAATCAAATAAGTTGCCAGTGAGACGTAGAGGACTGGCTTTTTAAAATTACTCTCAAAGATCTCTATACTAAATACTTCCCATTAAAAGTAACAATGGTCATTTTAAATTTTCTTTAGGAAAGCAATCATTGTAAAGGTTAATGGCCATAAAAATGTCTCAATTTTTATGAGAAGTTCACATTTTTGGCTTCTCTTCCTACATTGTGATAATAAATCAACCCATTACAAGAGAATATCTACAACAAAAATTTCACCATTGATATATAAATACCTTGTATATAGATCATAGAGATTCTTAAGATATTGTTCTGCATCTGATTTCCTGTGTTCTTCTAGCTGGTCCTTCACATAACTCTGTAAAATTTGGGTACATCTGTTAGAGGATTAAATAGCAACCACAGGTCATACTCACTACTTGCTAGATTATATGTAGTTCATTGCAAAGTGTATAACTTACTTAAGGTAATTCATACATTCTTTGTTTTTAAATCTCTAATTTGCAGATCCCACATTATCTACAGATAGAGTTAAACGCATCTTTTAGAAGAAAATTATTTAATAATACAAAGCAGTAGTGTGTGAAGCAAATACAAAAGACAGACTGCTTTGAAAATATGCTTGATCAACAAACACAAAATCCCCTCTTTTTAAGAATTAAAAGCACCGGAGGCCTAGGGGCATTTCTGCAGTTGACAGTAAGCAAAGGAGATGCTTACGTATTTGCTTATCATAATACATACACAAAGCAGATACAAGCTTAGAGCCCTCTTGTCATTTAGTATTTGGACAAAAAGTATTATCTACCATAAAATACTAAGTCAAAACTGACACACAAATTTGGGGCTGAAACACAAGCTCAATCTCTAAACTCTGAGGAGAGTAACATCTACAGTGAAATTTCTTTTTGCAGCGAATAATCATGTTGTTGACTCTACACACTGAAGTGAGTGTACTCGCAGGATGGAAAACTTGGTATTTTCAACTTTTCCAGATGTTCATATAACTACTGCACTAGCTGCTAGACAGTATTCACAACAAGTTCTTTTTGCTTATTTTAATGTCACATATGAAACCCAATTCCAAGAATGAACATATTAAAGATACTTATTAAATGTGAAACTTCTTTTCCTGACATATTCTGTATGCCCCCTACCAAGAAGAGATTAAATGTGTGAGCATAATCTTGTAAACTAGCTGATGAACACACTGATTCCCTTATAACGTTACATATTGCATTTGAGTATTTTCAGTTCCACTGCATTCAGAGTACAAGCAGGTTTATTTGATATAGGCTTGATTATCTCTCTGAACTGTTTAAGAACAATCAGCTGTGATTCTACAGCCTTACACAAGATTACAAATATTGTAAATTCTCATTAATGTTATTACTAGCTACAGTATTTTTGGATGAAAAGTTTCCTCAATGAACTTCAGCATGTTAGAATTTGAAGTACCTGGAGTTTAACTTCAAAAATATTTTGAATGAGTTTGGCTAGCACAGTCTCTGGATTGCTGAAGACTTCTCCAACTTGCTTATTCACTCGCTGGCAGAGAATGGCTGCATCTTCAAAGACATCATTCCTCAGGAATGCACCCTAGGGTTTTAGAAGCACATTTCACAATATATTTACAACCACCTATATGACTAGATAAATCAACACACAAAGAGATACATGTAAAACAAAATGCATTACCTCTTGACACTGTTTTATGTACACATCAACACAATGGGAATAGCCCTACGGAAGGAGCAAAATAACTCAATGTTAAAACGGGTTCTCCAGGCTTTCAATACAGAATGAAATCAAGAAAACACAATCCCTGTGACAAATTTATTGTGAAAACAGATTCATCAAAAGCACAGATTCTTTCAAACACATTTTTGTCACAAACCTAAGGTACCATCACTTATCACCACTCTACATGGATAAACACCATGTGTTTCAACACTCTCTCAAGCACGAAAGTCAGTTCACACGCACACATGAAAATACCATCTCAGAAAGGTCTCTACTCACACTGCCTCCAGTCCCCCATCATCTGCCTCTTATTCCCCTGAACTTGTTTTGGGAGGAACATCTCAGTATTTTTCAAGTTATATGTATTATCTGATATTGTGGTTGCACCCATGCAAGTATATTCAGTTAAAAGAGGCACTTATTGTATCATGAGTTGTTTTATTTATGTATTTAAATTAAAACGCTCAGTTTTTACCTTAAAATGAAGCAAAACTGCTGCTACTTCTCTCATTCTGGAGATTTCACCTCTCCGCTGTGCACTGGTAAACTCTTGAATTAGCTGGCACTCTAAATCATGATACTTACCTGCAGAGGAATAGGGATAACAACAAAAACCCATCAGCCTATGTAATACAAGCACTGACAAAAACTGTGATACTGACAGTATTGCATACTTCTTTAATCATCTTTAACATTTCAAATATAGGAATATGGATTGAACTGGATAGATAACTTACTTGCTATCTTTGATTTTACTTCCGAAAACCTGTTAACAACCAAAATGCCATGATTAAATTCAAATCCACATCACCGAAGAAATCACAGACATCCTAGATCATGAGTAACAGGCACTCTACTTAAAAATGAAAACATGTAACACAAAGACGACAGAAAAGTTACACGCTTTATATCCATAAAAACCTACAAGCATCTAATTCAAATCTAGCATTAAGTCAGCACACCAAAATTATCCCATTAAAAGTCTGTTAAGCAGTTTAGGATGTGTATGTAAAGATGATCCTACAACATGAGTGTGTGAACACGAAAATTCAAGAATAGAGGAGTGAGAAGTAAGCACACAATCCATCTCAAAAGCTACATAAATCACTAAAGTAAAGCCACCAAAAAAGTAGACGCGGGAAGCATCAGAAAATTACAGCTACGTGAAGATTTTTTTTTTAAAAAAAGATGTTCAGATAGACTTTTACCTGTCAAAAGGCAGCTCCTGTGCAATCAAATGCAGTTTCTGAATAATATCAGCTGCCTCTTTAATCTGTTAAGAGTAAAACACGACAGAATTACTAAAGAGAGTCTGATTGTGGGCTATTCCTTTCCTCCCCCTCCACTGTCCAATGTTCGTAAATGTAGTTCCCATTTCTAAACCTGGCTGAGTTGACACACCCAAGGAAGAGATCAACACCTTAAACTTCCTGTATGTACTTTTATGATGCTTAAGGTTTTTTTTATTTTAATATAAAATTATATAGGTCAAAACCTGATAAAAAGTCTTTCATTCTATGTTCACATTGGGCTTGTCTGTGCAGGTGTCTAAGTTACCTGGACAAATAGCTCGTCACTGCACTACACCAACAGAGCTGTACAGTTCACAGACCAAAGATTCCTCAGGGTTGAGTAGATCAGAACGGGGCTAGAGCAATCTTGTGAAAATTTGCACTCTTCCATTTGGGAATAAAATTTCTAACTGTTACACAGAGCTGGCTGAACTGCAACATCATACTTTACAAGGCATTAGGATAAAAGTCTTACTGACTCACACCCAAACAGAAGATACCTCTGTTGAACTTCAGAAGTGCAATGGCTAGCAACCCTTTCAGACAAGTCAGGAGAAGCACTGGGGAATTCTTTACAACCGATGAAACTAGCAGTATAGCTCTATCCAAGGAATCCATGACAATGCTCAGCATGGAGAAGGGAGGAGAGGGAAAAAGAGGATCAGCGCAGAGCATAGTTGGAGTACCTCGCATTCTCCCAAGGAAGGAGAAATGGAAGCTGTATTAGATATTATAAACTCTGAGGTACAAAGCGAAGATCAATACGAAAGTCAGTTAATTATGCATCTACAAAATATTAATAGTCACATGAATACAGAAGCTAACAAACAAAATTAACGCAGCATGCAAATTTCCACTCTGTCCTGGACAGCAAAACCTTTTCTCACTTATTCTCCCACAATCAATCAGCACGGGAGGTGCACCCAAGCAGCACTTAGCGACTGTTTCATAGGCCGACTAAAACTATAGAAAACGTCAATTTGCAAATGTGAGGAACACAGCTGGTTGCAGCTGCAGTTCAGTGGATTTAAGCACACCGTGCTGACGGGCCCAAACCAGACACAGCTCTGGGATGGTTTTACAGGCTTTATTATGCAGTCTTGGTGACTGGAAGTCACCTCGAACAGGGCGATGAAAGCTCCAACTACTACATCCAAGCAAAACCTTTATAAGTTGACACAACGGAAAACATGGAGAACATGGAGTTTATCTTGTTCTTCCTGTTCAGTCATGTTCCAGGGAACTGGAGTGAGAGGAAAGGAAGTAATGAAATCCTATTCTCCCATCACTTAGAGCAGGTTGGGATTAAAACTTTTGAAGAACAGAACAAGACACACGGTAAGAATACAGAGCACAGGCATTGCGCTAGGTTGGCTCTTCAGCAAAAACAGGGGCTCTCAAAGTATATCCATTCTGCTTATTAAGAGCAGCTTATGTTTTGAACTGTCAACTTACAATAGCCTCTTAAGTCGAAAGCAGCTACGCTCCTCAAATAAATCAAATGAAACAGCAGTTATTTCTGTTAGCTTACAGCAACCTTAATACCTAACTAACAATCATGATCAATACTGATGTCATTACAATAGTCTATATATTAGCAGTTATTCACTGATTGAAGGGGGGGAGAAAAAAACCAAAACCCAACTAATGCAACATTTTCTTTGTCTCCTCTTCACACAATAGCTGTTAACTAACTTAGATTTTACTGAATTCAGGGCCTTTTCTTCTGCACAACAGAAGCCATGACAAATCAATTCTCCATGGTTTCTCCTTAAATCTGGACATATTTCATTTTTAATTGAATCAAGTTTCTGTAAACTATTAAATTAAAATAAATATAGACTGTAAAATATAACTTAAAGGCTACAAGATATCTGCAAAAAATCAGCTAAATCATGGACAAATAATGGCAATTTTAACAAAATATTTTTATAAACAAGTTAAAAGGCATAATGGAATTATGTTGAGCACAGAACAGAACTGGAGAAAAGCATGTAAGAATAATAGTAAACACATTAAACACAGGACAAAGCAATTGGATGCTAAGCGAGCTGCTAGATCATTTTGAGCTTAATTGTTTCAACTGGAGTGATTTGCTCACTTCAAGACTCTTCAGTACAGAAGAGGGACTGGTTAGCCGGCAGCACAAGGGAAAATATAAAGAGTCAGAGGATGAAGACACAAAACACATAGCATGGAATGAGACAGCGAGAAAAAACCTTCAGAGACGGTAAGTTAGAAATTGCTCAGTACGGCTAGGAGAAAGCAATGTGGAAAGCAACAACCTGAGTGTAGGGGCAAAAAAAAAAAAAACAACACTACTGAGAAAAATATGAACTCCCCAGGCAATAAGTGCATTATAACTCCTTCCTTGCCTCTGCTTTCACAGTATCCCCTGCCCTCAATGTCTCAAAGAAAAACCCACATTTGTGAGGCTTTCTGACATAGCACAAAAAAAATCATAACATTCTCCAAACCACTATCTAAAACCCACATCAGCTTGCAGATCAGAAGACACTGACAAAGCATTAAGGTTTTGCATTTAAGAGTATTTGTTACTATCTCATACTCCAGCACTATTTTCAGTTCAAAGATGCATTAAGATGTGATAGCACATGTCTAGGCACGGTTTTTTTATAAACACTACTTCTACTCACTGTTTAAACTAGAAGGCAAAAAGTTACAGAACAGTACCAACCCACCTTGACTGAAATTCATCTCCGTAAGAGAACCTGTATTCAGAAAATCTTGGTTATGTTCCCACACACTTCCTCTTCAGACTGGGACAAGACTTCCACCCTTTACTACACTTGTCTTCCTCCAGATTTGCTCAGTATCTTATTATTCTTTAGGGTATATAAAGATTAATTTGTCTACCAATTTCCAGGTTTAACCTAACAATCTACCATTTTTTTCCAGATCCCCCAACAGAAAGTATCACAAAACTTGGAGGTAAAATGAAAGTTGAATTCTATATGAGACTCTTCAGCAGACAACACATAATTTTCTTTAACTTACATTTTGTTATTGCTTGTTGCCATCAAGTATTTTTAAAATGCACGTTTTATTTCTACTAAGGAACAACACCAAAAAAAAAAATCAAATCCCCAACAACTTATGCACATCTGGAAAAGGCTGTCCACAGAAGAACTTCTGTTATGTTGAAACCTCGCTGTTTTCCTTGGAAGTCAGAGAAGTTTTTACGTGCTCCCTCTTTGATTAGGACAAACTATCAACTGACAACCACCATATATCCACAGACCATGAATCAAAGGTTCCTGTGCAACTGACTTCTTGGAAATACAACTATATGAAATGATTAGTTTCTCATTTCCCTGAGAGATACATTCAGCTCAGTAGAGAGGGGATGACCACTAGCCTATTCTCAGGTCCTTTATGAGCTGCATTTCACGCACATATTTTATGCTGAATGCGGAAACCAAGTTTTGCTGTTCCCACATATTGTAATTTTTTTCCTGACTACAATCCTAGCACTGCACGGAATTTAAGGAGAGTGGGAAGATTCTTCAGGACACACCTCAAAAAAAACCCCAAGCCAACAACTTTACTTATCTCTCAAACTCCATAGTGAAATCTAATACATGCCCTTTTGCTGACAGCTGGACACTTTTCCTTCAGTTTATTTCTATTAGCCACACCATTCAGATTCTATTTGCTTCATGAACATACTCTTGACGCCTAAGAAAAACAAAATGCTTTAACATTTCTTTGAAGTTTTCCTGCCTGGTTCCTCTAAATTCAGAGGGTGGAGACATAACCGCAGGACTATAGAAAGCCCAAAGGCATGCTGTGACAAAAAGGTATCCAAGGCCAGTGGACTGACCCAACAGAGTAAAGTTTCACAAAGAGGTTGTATTCAGAAACGTTCTGCATTACAGGGTGGATCTGAGGCAAGGGGTTCAAAGGAAAAAGGCAGATATTGTACGCACTCTAAAGTTGCCCTCCCAGCATTTCTCAAATCTCTGATAATTTCATAAAGTGAAAAATGCCAACACTGCCACATTAAGCATCACTGAATAAAAGTGCTTTATCAGCAATCTGCAGCCTAGTGTTGTTCATTTACATTTCAGAACAATGAAACTTTAACAAGTCAGTCACTCACTGGTTTGAAGTCTGACCATGGTAAGTCATGGTAGCAGCTTGTAATTAGGGCAGTACTGCTTATTGCTTTGAACTGCTTTCATCCCGCTGACAGCTCTTACCTTTTCAGAGTTTGTAAAAACATCAGACTTCAGCTCTCCATCCAGAAACTCATTAAAGTATTTCATCAGCTTCTGAGCCTCCACAGCCCGTTGCCGTGGCGTGTTTACCCCCTCCAGTTGGTCGCCAAGGTGACAGACCTTAGTTGCTACATAGCTGATGTGCTCATCTAGTTCTTGGAAATGTTGGAAGGCAACCTGGCAGAACATAGACACGGACACACAACTCATGATTGCCATTTACTGTACTTTAGGAAACACTGGATTTACTGCAATAAGCAGCACAGTGAATGTAGGCATCAGCCTTCCAGGTGCTGGATCTCAGAGCCGCTAATTAAGTACACACAACTGCTTAAAGTTCAGCGTCTTCCTTTAAACTATTGTGAAGACTCGATACTTTCAGAATAGCTCATTAACGGAACATGCAGATAAGCCCCTTTTGACAGGGGAAACTGTTTTCCATCAAACCCTCTTTCTTTTTATCTCAAACAGTAGCACGCTGTACCAAAGAACATTAACAGAGCATGTGATGCTTTTAAAACTTGCACAGCTTAGCGCTGACTATACTCTTCAGATTTTACCTGGTTGCTTTTCTGCAGCTCTTGTACTTTCTTGGCAAATTCTTTTGCTTCCTTCTGGCACTGCTGTTCTAGTTTCTCCACCTTTCTCTGAATCCTTTCGTCCATTACCTGTAATTCTTGGATATGATTTACAAATTCTTCCAATAATCTGATTTAAAATAAAATATAGTAAAGCAGACTTTAGTTTAAAAGACATTGTTTTCTGCAGAGAGCTTAAAAAAAACTCAAAAAAAGAACCTGCCCATGAGGCTGATATAATCACGTCTAACTTACAAATGCTATTTTGTTTTAAACTATACCACCCTGGTTGTGTAGAACTCTGTGCCGACGTAAAGGCTACGTGATCATGTAAATGGCAGGCTGGGGGAGAGAGGAATACCTAAACACCAGTGGCTCAAGAACGTGGTTCTGCCACGGCTACAAAAATCCTCACATCCTCATCTTCCCTAAAGAAGTCTCATCAGGGCAAAGAGAGCTTCGGCCACTGCACCCCTACAAAGTAAGGGCTGTAACAGGAAAATATTTTCTACTGTACTGTAGATGTTACTGTAAACCTGTAAATCAGCATCCTATTAATAGGCAATGAATACAATCATGTAGTCTCATAATGTTATTTTGGTTATAATCATGTTGCTTCCTGACTTCACTTCTTTTCTTTCTATAACATAAGCCATTTTAAGGGTTTTTTTCTGCCCTTTCCCATCATTTTGATTTTTCTTTCAGACTCGCATTTTACTCTTCCAAAACACAGCACATCCGAATGCATTCTTGAATTTCCTCTCTTCTTTTTAATTCCATTCTCAATGTCTCTTTTTCTCATTCCAGTTTTTGTCCATTCTGTCCCATTCCTGGCATGTTTTCAGCTTATAATTTTTTAAAAACCCCAGTCACTGATGCTCAGGGAAAGGATTGTTCTCAGACCCCCCACAGCCATAAAACTCATGCTAGTAACTGAAAACATATGAAAGATTTGATAACTCTGCTGCCCAGGTTTAATGACAAAGCAGAAGAGGAAAGCAAGCAACAATCCCTTCCAGGGAGCTATTTCTAGACTAACCTGCAGTGCTGCTGAACAGGCAGAATAAGCACGCTGTTCCTCTTCCAGCTCCCCATGCACAGGCTAGAGACTCTCAGCGACCAGAAGGAGAACTAGAACGCATTATTCTACCCTCACACAACTCCTTCCCAGTAATGACCACAGCACCTCTCTCAGCCAACATCAACTGCTTTCTCCGAGCAACACCCAGACGACATTAATGTGATTTCCTTCAGTTGTATGGAGGGTCCCTGCATTTTCAGTTTTAGCTTCTGCTGCTAAAATGACTGGCTTTTACCTTGCTGCTTGGAGCACGTGAACTGCCTTTTTGCTCATTGTATTGGTCTAAAACCTATTTCAAGTGACATCTTTATGGCAGTAAGTGACTTACAGGCACAACTTATTACAGAAAACTGGATTGGGACAGATGCTTACGACTTCTTTCCTCCAGGTTCTGCTTGTCAGAAGCCCAAGAGTAAGCATGTTGCATTAGATTCCACAGAAAACCACAAGGAACAGACTTCAGTTTATAGAAGTATTTTTAAAATAAAATTTAAACTATAGTAAGTGACACAAAGCATACTTTCAAACATAAGCCTAGAGAAGTGCAGTTTCTATTCATTTTAACAAGCTGATTTCATTCAGTTTGGGGGTTGTTTTTTAAACAGGTACTGTGCCAACTCAGCATTTATTCAGCAAAAGTATTCCATATAGTGAGAGAGGAAAGAATGCTAGCTGCTGGTCAGGTTTCCCAGAACAGAAACAAAGAATCCAACAATCTTTCTACCAAACAAAAGCATCATCCTCTAAAAACAGAAAAGAAAAAACATACACTAAAATGTCTGTTTCTTTTTGATATTAATTTTGGCTCCCTGCCCAATACTATTAGATCCTGCAAGGAAAACACCTGTTGTTGCAGGATTCTACCACTCGTCCTGAAAAACATGAAAGTGCTTCACATAAGTTAACACAAGCAAACCAGCAGAAATATAGAAGACGGGTTAAACTGAGTTGGTAATGGTACAAATCATTAACTACCTTAAAGTATATACTACTTACAACTGTGGGGAAAGAGCTGCCAGAATTAGTGTCGTGTATTTCCAGGCATCTTCCTTCTCAACTCATACGTAAAGCTCTGCATCAGATACACGCCACAGATTAAACGTCAAGGGTTCGAGCATCTTTCTAGAACTCCAAACAATATCCTTCCTCTGCTCATAGCCTCCAACAAGACAGACTGATCCGAAGGGATGTCCTTTGATCACGCTAATGAAGGTTTTTGTATCTGCTTTTGAATAACAACAGCTTGTCTATGAAGTTACTAATTCCTAAATTTAAGAGTTCTAGTTCAGGTTACTACAAACAGTTTCAATCTGGAATAAGATCCTGTAGGCAAGAAGTCACTAAGGAACAGCTACTGCACTTCTGAATTCATATCACCATAATCTAAATTAGCATTCTGGTAGCTAAACTTTTTGCTGAGCCTGCTAGCTCAACAGCATTCTGACAACCATAATGGGAAGAAGGTCAAGCTCAACTCGCAAGCTTTCATCGCGTGAAAAATCAACATATTTAAGTTAATTACATCTCCAGGAAAAATACCAATACTACTACAAAAGCTAAGAAGTAGCATATTTGAAGCAGTCACTCTTTTCAAAGCAAAAGAAGATCCAGAGGTTTGGAATACAGAAGTCCAGATGCTGAACACTGCTGTATAAAATTGTGCATTCGAGTTACCAGTGCACCACCCAATGCTGGCCCAGGAACCAGAGAGCTGGCTTCTTAGGGTGAGGTTTCTCAACAGAGCCAAGCCAGCTCACCACAAACAAGAGGTCGTCCTGCATGACCTTCTCCTTCCCTGCCTCTCCTACCCTAGCCTTGCTCCTTTCCACCTCCACATTCCCTCCCACCATCAGCTCGCAGACACACAACCTCCTCCCTTTGCATCGGCTTCCAAGCTTTTCCAGTCCCCCAAATTGTTAACCCCACTAGAAAAAAGTTAGCTTTTTTTTCTTCTTGTTAGGTTAGTTTTCTGACATTTTAGTGAGTTAGATTACCTTATCATGAGATCACATACCTAGAGCTAGCTCAAGATGAGCCATCGCAGTGTCCAGCTAAGAGCAAGGGAGGAGGGCACAAGCCCATCTCCATTCAGCAGCAGCAAGCTGTTTACTCAATTCAGACTACACCACACAAATTCAGTTTAAAACAATCTAAGTCAACACTGCCATGTTCCTGCCTTTCTTTCCATCCTACCTGTTTGTGCCTTTTATCTGCACCAGGACTGTAAACTACTGTGTCTTACAACCGGCCAGCTCAGGGAGCTAAACTCGCAAGAAACTCATTAAATTGACTTAACTATCATAGCAGTGAAGCCTCATGTTATGCTTTAATCTGGCAGCTCTAGCGTTTTGGAACATTCATGTCTGACAAGGACAAACAACATCAATTCTCCTTCATTCAAAAGGTCTAAACCAGAAAGTAACTTTCCCGACTCTTGTTACTGAATAATTGGTTCTGAATAATTGGCTCACGGTCACAGATTCTAGCAATTCTCCCAGATGAAAACCTCCTTGGACACACACCAACACTGCATACAGGCTTTTTGTTATTTGTGTAATAAAACAGTACAATTAGAGATACGTTCACTTTGACCATTACGCAATTTTATTTTACCTTTTCGGATCAAAAGCTTCTCCACCTCTGGAACCTCCTCCAGGTGTTCTCCATGCCAGGCGTTCAATGTATTCATCTGCCACAAAAGGCTCCTAGCCACAGAATAAAAACTCCTTACAATGTGCCACAGCAGGTTGTTCCTTAAGCAGCTGCTTACACATCATTTTGAAAGGGTTTGGAAGCTTTACTACAATCAAGAGCAAGTAAAGTGTTGACAATTACCCCGTCACCTCTTACGTTTACATATTTAATACAGAGAACACTGTTCTTAATACGGTGGGTTTGAACATCTAGTCTAGAGATTGCCAGGCTACTAGCAAAGAACTTGCTGCAGGTCTGTGAAGAGTTGGCTTTACATCACCTGTCCTTATTTCCAGGTGAGCTTACAGCTTGTCACTACAAAGTGTCTGAACCATGCAGCAGCTACACTGATTTGAGATACCATGTGATGAGACCCAGCGGTCAGCTGTGCAGCAAATCAGATAGGAGGATTGATCTACCTAAAAAATTACGTGGCAAAGTAAGTTTTCTTTGCAGTTGCTCAATTCTGATGCAGTTCACAACATGGCATCACAACCAGAACTGACCAAGGAACTGCCCCGGGGCAAAAACAGTGCAAGTCTGCCACTGGACATTGCAATATC